TCCGTTCCTCTAGCGCCTTTAACTCTCTGTCCATGGCTTCACGCCATTTTTCCCTGTGTTCCCCCCCCAGAGCCTGCTGAACCGTCGCAGGCTCCTTAGGAAGAGTGTTGCCGTGGACTGCGGTGACGAGGCCGAGAATCTGCAGTCCAATCTGTGAGTAGCGGGGAAGAGTTGCGTCCTCGGGATAAGCTGCTTCATCTCCCGCTTCTGGATCAGGTATGAAATTCGGTCCTACTCGTTCTGCTTTGTTGGTGTTGACTGTCGCAGGTGTTACGTAACCGTTGTCGGCGAATTAGTAGAAGGTTTCGGCGTTGACACTTTCGCGAGGGTTGTCTTCGTCCATGGGAACGTCGACGGAGCAGAACGGAAGAGGTCCGGCTTCTTCTGACGTGTTGTCCACATTCTGCTCGTCCCAGTCAGCTTCGTCTTCTGCGCAGGCGAAGGCTCGGTCGCCACGAAAACCACCTGTGGGATCTTGGTCCTCTTGCAGGTTGGCAAGGTGCGTCTGGAGCATGAGTCGTTCGTAGAAAATCACGTCACGTGCTGCTACTGTTTCCTTGGAGTGGACGTCGAAGATTTTCCACGCGTTGTAATTCTTTTCGATGCCGAGGTGTAGTCCCCACTGTGCGCGTTGTGAAAATCGGCCCGCTCGTGCTGCTGGGGGTCGATACTGTACCATGCATCCGAACACTCGTAACATTTTTGTGCTGCCCTGTTTCCCTGTCCACAGCAGATGCGGTGATGCGTTGTTCGGAAGCGATGATGACGACAGCAAGTTGTGCAGCATAACAGCGTGGTCCATTGCTGCAGGCCACTGTTGGTTGGGTAGCCGCATGCCACGTAACAGTTTGCGCATGCTGTTCTGCAGAGTCCGGTTCATTCTTTCTGCTACACCTTGCTGCTGATGGGTGTAGGGAAGAGAGAGGAGCTGCTTGATGCCCCTTTCCGCCAGGTACTGCTTGAATCGTTGAGAGGTGTACTCTCCTCCTCCGTCTGACTGGAAGCTTTTGAGCTTTACGCCCGACTCTCTCTCTGCTACTGGTAGCCAGGCAGCGAATGCTTCGAGGGCCATGTCGCGGCTGGGTAAGTTTAGGTGCCAGACGTAACGGGTGGCAGCGTCGATGAAGGTGATTGTGTAGTTGTAGGTTACTTGTCCTGGCTCCCGATTGTACAGGATGTCGCTATACACCTTTTCGAGTGGTGCGTACGCGGGTGCGCTCGGGTTGTGACGAGGAGTGAACGGCCGATCTGGTAAGTCGGCTTCGGGGCAGGTGAGGCATGTTCCTCGTGCTCGTTGGAGTTCTCTTCCGTCGAGTAGTAGTAACGAGTCCTTGTCAAGGACTCCTTCTCTTATTGTGTTGTTTAATACAGTGTTGCTCGGGTGTCCCATCCTTGCGTGCCAGGTACTTTCGTCGGCGTGATGCCCGGGTGATCGTCAGTACATGTCGGAGTTGGAGTAGAAGCTGGCGATGAAGTTTGCGCTACGATGAACTTCTCGTGGTGCTGGGTGGAGCTGTTGTGCTGGTGTTGGCGGTGTTTCGTCGACGAGAACTGGTCTGGTTGTTGCTGCTGCTCTTGTTGTTCCTGTTGCTGCCGATGATGTCCCTGCTGCTGCCGATGTTGTCTCTGCTGCTGCCGATGTTGTCTCTGCTGGTGCCGATGTTGTTTCTGCTGCTGCCGATGTTGTCTCTACTGCTGCCGATGTTGTTTCTGCTGCTGCCGAATGTTGAATTGTTACTAACGCGCGTGTTCGTTCTGCTTCAGGAATGGTATGTGAATACCAAAAGCCTTCCGGACTGAAGTCTGGATCAAGATCTGGAGGGTGTGTCCAGTCGGCGAAGTTCACGATGGCGTCGCTGTCTGCGGTGCCCAGGTCTGGGACAAAGTCAAGGACGAAGACGTTGTTCTTCATGACCGCCTTTCCGATGTAGAGGCCGCCCTTCCCGTGGTACAGTTTGAACTCCTGGGTGGTACTGTCGGCTTCCGGGTGTATGCCTTTCGCCATCAACTGACTGATGCTCAGTAAGTTGTAGCCGAGTCCCTCCGCGATTAGTACTTTTGACATCTGCAGTATAACATTTGTCTCTCGTGACTGAAGTTGTACTACTCCTTGTTGTTGTGTGCGCAGATTCTGGTTGTTGGCGACTGTGATGACGACCTCTCGTTGAAGTCGGTGCTCGCGTTGGACGAAGCGTCCCGAGGAGCACATGTGTTGTTCGCAGCAACTGTCCAAGAACCATGTGTCTTTCCCGGACGGTTGGCTTTGAGCGATGGCAGCGTACGTCGGGTTCGGTTGAAGTGACTCGCGGCGAGGCGTGCTGTTGTCGAGTTGTTCTTCCGGTGAGTAATATGGTGGTGACTCAGTTACGCAGGAGTCGCTTAATCTTGCCATGCAGCTGATGATGTTTCTTGTTTCTTTCGCAGATTGTCCCGTTGATGTTGTTGAGACTTGTACTGACGTTGTCGGACTTGCTTGCGTTGAGGCGACTTGACTGCTTGAAGGGCGAAGTTGGCGTTGCGGCGGCGTTTACTGTTGTCGATTCGGGCAGTGCGTACGAGGATGCCCTGAAGTCTTGCAGAGGTGGCAGAACGGAGGTACGATTTTTTGTCGACTGTTGTTGTTGGTGTGGCGTCGTTGAGTGTGGAACGCGAATTCGGGTACTGATACCTTTCTCTTGTGTCGTTCTTCTTGCAGGTCCATGTCTTGCTGCTCAACATGGATTTCGGCGCAGAGTGCTGCTTCGGAGATTCTCCCGTGTGCTCGTAGTATGGCGCGAGTGGAGCGCCAGTGAGGGCCAAGACCGCCGATGACAACCGTGACGAAGGCGTCTTCTGAAATCGATCCTCCACATCGAAGAAGCTTGTCGCGCAGCTCGCGGCAGCGACTGATATACGCCATTCCCTTCTCGCCTGGTTTCATTTCGATTGTTGTCAGCTGCGCCATTAACCGACTTTGGTTTACGCTGTCTGTTGCTTGATACAGGTTCTTCAAGTGGTTGTACGCGAGCTCCGCGGAGTTGCCATATCCTCGGTAAGTCCTTATGTTGTGCTGTTGAGTCGAAGTGATGTTCCTCAGTAGTATTGTGTACGCCATCATCGATTGATAGGTGTACTGCTGCTTCTCATACTGTGTGCCGTTTGTTGGGTATGGCAGGGACCCGTCGAAGAAGCCAAGGATCTGCGCTCCTTCCATCATCAGCTCGAATTCGAACGACCAGGTAAAGAAGTCCTTCCCGTCGAAGGGTTTTGTCGTTTGCAGTTTTAGAACGTGCGCGAACTGCGACTGAACTTGTAGTGCGTCCAGCGCTCTTTCTTGTCCCGGTGCAGGTTGTGGTTGTGGCATGAAGCTGACGGAGCCGCGCTGGGGCTCGTACGGAGCTAAGGTAGGTTGTTGTTGTTGATTCCCGCGTGCGTAGGATGAGCCATCGAGACTCATGGGCGTCACGTTGTTGTTGTTGTTGCTGTTGTTTGATTGCGCAGGTACTCCTTGCTGGTGCTGCTCGTAGAAGGACATGAAGGAGAAGAATTTCTCCATCATGCTTGGATCGAAGCCCGCGCCTTGGTTTGCGGGTGTTTCAGTAGACCCAGCGGCCGGTCTCGTTGTTGTGCCTTCCTCTGTCTGTAGACCAGATGCAGGAGGTGGAGTAGGAGTAGTACCAGGAGAGCCGTTGGAGGAGCTTCTTTCCTTCCTGGTAGACATATCTCTTGGTGTAATTGAAGAAGTGATAGAATTTTACCCTAGCCTGCTCTCATACCATGTTGGGCTGAGTGCCCCTTAGGATCTCTGGTAGGGTTAATCTCTGGGTAGAGTGATGTAGTAGCGGAAGCGTTAACAAAGAGATTCTGAACCACCTTGCGCTAGTATGTGAGGGCAAAGTAAGTTAATTAAAGCAAACAAGTACAAAGGCTTATATAAGAGTACAAGGAATACGAAGGGATATGAATGATAACTGCCTTACTGTTGGCTGTTGCGGTTCGATACAGTGCGACTCGGGCAACTGCTCAGTATTGAGTCAGTTGTGTGTCATTGCTGTCGCGCTGCCTTTGTCAGGTCAAAGGTCGCTGACCTTTGACTTTCACGTAACCTCCAGCGGTTACTTCAACCTCCGAGGGTTGACTCGCTGGTGCCTCGATATGATCTGCTTCGCTTGTGCCTTGGTGTTTCGACACGATAGAAGCGTTTTTAGGATCGATTGTTTCCAATACTTCGCACATGGCACCCCGACCTCACGGCTCGGCGGGTATCCCGCGCTCCGGGCCTCCGCTTCGACACTGTTCCCCAACCTCAGTCCCAGGCCCGTCGCGCGACAACCACAGTCCATTACCGTTACCACTGTAGTTTCGCTATATATTCTTCGCTCATGCCTTCGCTCATTGTACTCTTGCTTCGATAGTGCAATTCTCGTTCGTTCACTCAATTGCACTCGTAACACTAATCCACAAAATCGAAAATCATAATCCGCTAGTTTCAGTCACTGTAAAATCCCCCCGATCAGTGAGGTCAAAACCTCTCCGCTGCCGGGGAATCTGGCGTGCAAAGCACGGGAATCTGGGGCCCTGAGTGGTGCTTCGGCCATCAACACTGCCGAGCCGAATCTCGTGAGTCCTGCGCTTCCGCCACCAAGCACCCCAGGCTCAAACCCCTCGGGTTACCACCACCACACCACACACCTCGAGACCCCCCGCCACCGCCTTGGCGCTGTGCTCCCTGCTTGGAAGTTGGAACAAAAGTCGGTGCCTGGTAGCGAGCGCTATGTACAGACAGAAGTACCCTGGGCTGGAGACGTGTTTTCATACTGTACTGTGACACAGAATTTGAGCAGCAGTGCACCGGATTCACAGCAATTATTGGTGGTGCACCTCTCCACTGAAGCCATCTTGGCTTCTTTCATCTCCTGTTTCTGTCTATGTTTTTGGAACGTCATTGCTAAGGATCTTGATTCACAATCGTTTTCTCGAACAAGATGGCGCGCCTTTTTTCCCTCTTGGTTACGTCAAGAATGCAGTTGCCGGCCGCGTTACTGCTTTTGATCGTCGCGACGAGCCTCGCAGGATCCGGATGCGCGCAGTCTATTGCGCCGGCACAGGGTAAGTACACCCCTGGTTGCATTAGTGCGACGTGCTTCGCTACTACCTGCTGCGAGCCGCTGCTTTACGGCGCGCGGCTCGTGGCCGCATTGCGATGCCACTCGCAATTAGTTCCCGCGGCGTTGGCCGATGGGATCTGGTGCCGAGAAGAGCCTTTGACGTGACGCACGGTGAAGGAAGCGCGGTGTGCCGCCATGGCGTTAGAGCAGAGCCGTCATTGCACGTGCAAGCCGTCGCCACCCACTCGACGCGCTCGCTGCGGCGGCGCGTTCAGCTACGTTGCTGTGGCTCTCCGCGCCAGCCTCCTTCCGGATTTCGTTTCCGTCGAGGATATGGTCAGCCGTCGTCAGCTACGAGAGACATTGCATTCCGCGTGAAACAGCCGCGTATTCTTTAACATGAACGAGTGCTGCTGCTGCTGCCGCTGCCGCTGCTGCTGCTGCCGCTGCTGCTGCTGCTGCTGCTGCTGCTGCTGCTGCCGCTGCTGCTGCTGCTTCTGCTGCTGCTGCTGCTGCTGCTGCTGCTGCTGCTGCTGCTGCTGCTGCTGCTGCTGCTGCTGCTCTTCCATACCTCATCATCTTTCGTGTGGCATTGTTGCCCTCTCATCCCCTCCAGCGGAAGTGCTCAAGGTGTGTCAGCAGACTTGGAAATTCACCGGCTGGACGGACTTCAGCGATTGCAACATCACAGGAGTTTCATGCGATACCAGCGGGAATGTCTTAAAGCTGTGAGTTGGCGTGCCACGGGTGAAGAGGGAGAGTGTCGTTGATTTGGTGAAACGTGTGTTTCGTTCAAGGATTGTGCACATGCTATCTCGTAGTGATATGGGAAATGAAGGCAATATGAATGTGTGAACATAGCAGAGGGGAGGTTCTAGGTTGCGCTATTCATGCTTCTCACTCTTGATGCTGGCCCCTTGTTGCTGTGTCGGTCTTCCCTAGTCGATCGCACTGCACCATGACTCCCCTCATTAACTTCCCTCTCTTCGTTCAGGTTCTTAATCAATCAGAATCTGACGGGTTCTATCCCCGACGCTCTCAGCAATCTCACCCGCCTTGGCGAGCTGTGAGTGTTCCGCTGTCCCCTGCACTTGAGTTATCGCCCCTACACTTGAGTTATCGCCCCTGCACCTGAGTTATCGCCCCTGCACGCACCATGCACTACCCACATGGCCCTGCCTTACTGGCCATGCTCCGCGTAGCTTCATGTGGGGCGTGCATTGACAGCACGGACGATTCCGGCCCCATGCTCCACTGCACACACGGGCTCTGATGGAAAGGCATCTCGGTGGTGAGGGGTGCAAGTGGATGGGACGGTAAGTGCATGTGAGGATGCGACAGTCGTTTGGTTGTTAAGGGGGTTGGGTTGGGAGGGAGCTAGGGATTAGATATGGTGCAAGAGACGAGCGTGGTTTGGTGACAGAGTAGTAAGCGTGCGTGTGTGTGCCGCCCCCAACAGGCAGCTGAGCGGCAACAAGCTGGAGGGATTCATACCGGTTAACATCGGCACCATCACCTCTCTCTCTGCGCTGTGAGCCCTGCCCTGCCCTGCCCGGACCCGCGTCCGCCATCATTTACTTCCTCCAGTGCTTGCTTGCTCGTCCCTAGTCTTGGTCCGGGTCGTAACTCTGTGATGTGTTGCCGTGCTGTGTGCTTACCTCGTTCCCGCTGCTGTCTCTCCGTGCACATCACATCACATCACATCACATCACAGTGACTTCACCAACAACAAGCTGACAGGCGAGATCCCACGCTCCCTGGGAGACCTCGTGCTGCTCCAATCACTGTACGTACCTCACCACCTGTCCTTCTCAACGCTGCCGTGAACTTGGGAACACACGGGCATGCGTTCAGTCCCATTCCATGCAAATGCACAGCACATGCACTTCGTGTGCACTCCTCCTACTAATCCGCCCATCCTATATATGTGTCATGCGTGCCTCTCCCACGCCAGAAACCTGGAGTACAACAAGCTCTCAGGCACTGTTCCTCTGGGTATCGGCAAGCTCTCCACTCTTGAGTACCTGTGCGCCTTCTCATGCCCATGCCATCTCCTGCCTCCCTGCACCCCACGTCCTTCATTCCTGGCTGCATGCAACCGGCTATCCCGTGTGCACTATACCTGTGCTCTGCACATCCCGTCCCCCGTCGATCAAGCCAACTGCTCTCGCACTGCTCTGCCTCGCTTGCATGTGTGCATGGCCCTCTCACCGGCAACCTCTGTGGAATGGAATGATTTTGTTGCCACACGCTCAGGCCCTCGCTCTCTGTCCTTGTGTGACAGCGATTCTGGTGCCCCTGACCCTCGCCTTCTTGATAATGCCTCGATCCGCGCGCTCGTTCTTCCCCTCCGCCCAACCGCCCTCTGCAGGAGCCTCGCGCACAACAATCTCTCGGGTCCTATCCCCCTCGACGTGCCAACGCTTCCCGGCCTCACATCGCTGTCAGTTGCTTGCACTCGCCCACGCCACCCTCCGTGCCTTAACTCTCCCCCTTTACGCGGCTTCCTGCGCTGCTGCGTGTCCTGCTGCCCCTGGCCTGTACCTCTCCATACACGTGCTCTACATTCTCCTTCCACTATATCCATGTATCGCCCCTCTGACTGTACAACCTGATTCATTGCATGCATGTTTTTGTGTGGTGCACTCTGCTTCTGCCCCTGCAGGTCGTTGAATAACAACAAATTCAACAGCTCCATCCCACCAAGCATCGGCACCCTCTCCAACCTCACCAACCTGTACGTGCCCATGCCTTCTACCTTCCCTGCGCCGCTCCCCCCGCGTCCTTGCCTTGCCACCCTTCTCCCGTTCCCCCTCCCCTCTCTGTCTGCTTCCTCCTAATGTGACAATACACCCGCAACGTCTCCGCCCCCATTTCCCCTGCACTATATCGGGCACGAATCAGGGCGCTAGACAACAATCGCTTGATTGGGCCCATTCCAACAACAATCTCGGGTCTGCAGAAGCTCAAGTCCCTGTGAGTCCTCATCACTGCTGTAGCTGTAGCTGCGCCGATACGTGTTGCTGCTGCTGCTGCTGTGCGACAGCCTACCAGTGGTATCAGCTCACAGCGCGTCACAGTGCTCCAATGCTCCACCTCACCTGTGCACCCATTATCACCCGTCAGTCACTGCACCTACCCGTGCTCCAACACTCTGTTCCTCACCACTACCTGCCACCCAGTCGCTGCCACATGGGGCTCCTAAGCTACCGTGCTCCCTGCCCGTGCTCCCTGCCCGTGCTCCCTGCCCGTGCTCCCTGCCCATGCTCCCTGCCCGTGCTCCCTGCCCGTGCTCCCTGCCCGTGCTCCCTGCCCGTGCTCCCTGCCCATGCTCCCTGCTTATGCTCCCTGCTCGTACTCCCTGCCATGCGCCCCCACCACTGCAGCAACTTGAGCAGCAACGCCTTGAGTGGATCCATCCCAGACACCGTCTCTGCTCTCACCAGTCTTGAGTCCATGTATGTCACACAGCACGGCCCACCCCTTGTGTGCCTCGCCTCATCGTGCGTATACCTTGCCTTCACAGTCCATGCTCACATACTCTTGGTGGCGCTTTGCTCTCATGTACACGTCCTCAGTTTGCCTTCCATGCACTGCACAACATACCCCTCTCTTCTGCCCCTGTTACAACTGCCAGGTGGCTGCATGGCAACCAGCTTTCTGGCGCTATTCCCGATGGGATTGGTAGCCTTACCAATTTAATTCACCTGTATGTTCAGCCCAGAGCCACCATCCAACCAGCCATCAAGCCTCTGTCACACCTGTGCCCGCTCCCCATCTTCATTCCATTCATCAGCGCCCCTGCATGCTCCTCCCTCCTGTCATTGCCCATCACCGTCCTTGTCTCCCGCTTCCCTGTCCGAATCGCCTCCCCCTCATCTGTCCATCCTCCTCTCTGTCTGTGTGCCCTGCGCCTTCCGAGTGGCCTCAGGTCGTTGAGTTACAACAGCCTCACCGGCTCTCTGCCATCAGGCATCGGCGCCCTCACCAATCTCACTCATCTGTATGGCGTGCACCACTTACCACCACACACCCTTCCCTTTCCCCTCTTGCTCACCACTACCAACCCCCTCTGTTTCTACCCTCGTGTCGTTCTCTCTTCCCACCTTTCCTCCAGCACGCCTTCTCTCCTCTGTGCTGCCTGCGTATCTGTCTGTGGGTCGGTGCGTCCACATCACATGCAGGAGTGTGCAGCGCAACCGTCTCAACGGGACAATCCCTGCCATCATTAGTGGCCTCGCAGGCTCCTTGAACCACCTGTATGGCACCAACGCTCTGGCCAATCCCCTCATCCTTTCTACTTCCTTTCATACGTCACCTCTAGAGCTAAGAGCTGTTTCCGCACGTCAAGTGTGTGTTGGTGTAGCTTGTCTCCTGCCCCATCATTCCCCGCCCGCTGTGTCGTGCTGTGCGCACCGGCAGCAACATGAGCAACAACCCTCTCCGCGTGGAAGTGCCAGCACAGCTAGGGCCGCTTGCAAAGCTCATCCACCTGTATGTATCATGGGTCTGCTTTGCTCGCATGGCGTGCTGTGCTGGATAGAAGATAACATGCCCTTGGGACTGCCAAGTGTGTTGCTGTGCTGTCTGCAGCCCTGTATCTGTGCCCGCAAGCGCCCACCCACTTGCATTATCCCCCCGCACCATCCGTCCCTCCTTCCACCACCATCCCCCTCCCCTCTCTCTGTGCATCTCCCCTTCCCGCCGTGCCAGGGACCTCTCATTGTGTCTGCTGAACGGGACCATCCCCGACACCTTCACAGGGCTCACCAGTCTCGCCTCCCTGTGCGCTCCTCTTCTCTTCCCGTCCTCCGTCACCACGCTCGTCCCATCACCATCGCGTGCCTTCTCTTCCCTCACGTCTCTTATCTTGCACTCTGTCCCCGATGTGCTTTCAATGTGCTCTCAACGCAGCAAACTAGCTGCTTCGAGCTTGCATGTGCTAGCATGCCATGCCGTGCTGTCCACATGCACAGGTATCGCCATGCTGTGCCTGCGGTAGTGGTCCGGCAGTGCTAAAACAGCATTCCTTGTCCGTGCTCTCCCTCCTACCTGTGCCTCCCGTGCTCCCCTGTTCTCTGTGCACAGTCGGCTTAGCAGCAATGATGTTGGCGGATTCATCCCTCCTTCCCTCGCGCAACTGCGTCACCTCAACGTCCTGTAACTCACACTGGCTTTCTCTCTCCCTCCTCACTCCAAACCCCTCCTGCATCCATATTTCCTTCGTATATGCTTTTGACATGGCACATACTTTTACGCAAGGAGGCTTTTCCGAGACAAGGGGTTTTTCAGATCTGCGAATTTCACACTGTTTTTGCAGTTGATCCTGTTGCTAAAGCGTCACTTTCACATGCTGCAGCCCTTCGAATTATGAGTCAGGACGACCTGCGGAGCAGAACACACTCAGCAGGGGCGCACCTGGCGCTGCATTCTCTGAGAATGCTGCCTCCTCTCCCCCGCACCGGCCAGGTCATTGGAAGACAACAGGCTGCAGGGCAACCTGCCTGTGGAGCTCAGTGCTCTCGCTGACCTCCGTGTTCTGTGAGCTGCTCTCCTGCCTTGCCACCACATGCTGCTGCTACTGCTTCCGCCCCTCCCATCCCATTCCGTCAGCACTGCGCACTTGATTTTCTTCGTCTCGGTTCGTCATTTCACTTTAACTCCTCGGAAATTGGCTCTGATGTAGCGTCAATCCGCCATAATGTTTTCGCAAGCTCCCGCTGCTTCACTAAGGCCAGCCACTGTGCATGAATGCATGCTCTCCTTCCGCCATGCCCCGCGCACCACTCCCATGCCACACAGTGATCTGAGTGGCAACGAACTCACAGGAACCATCCCCGACTCCTACTCTGCCCTCTCCTCTCTCGAGCACCTGTAAGCTGCACCCTCTGCCTGCCCCTATGCCTTCCTCACTGTTGCTGCCGCTCTTGCCCCTTGGCACATCCACACCCCATTCTTGCCCTCTCCTCATTCCCCACTCTCCCTGCTCTCTCTGCCACGCTCACCGCCACTGCTGCTCACGGTCCCTGTGTCATCGGCCAAACATGCCGCCCGTCCCGTGTCCCTCAAGTCCTGTACTTCTCTCGTTCTGTGTGCTGCTAGCATGGCCCATCCCACCAGAGCACCGCATGCGGATGTGAGTTGCCCCGCTCGTGTGTTTGCTCTGCCCTGCATGTGCTGACATGCCACTGTGCTGCTGTGCCCCTGTGTCACTGTGTCACTGTGACGCTGTGCAGGGACATGAGCTTCAGCACCATCACTGGTGGCATTCCGGACTTCATTGGACAGTTCTCCTCTTTGACTACTCTGTCTGTGCTCCATTCCTCATCCCCCAACCCCCTTTGCTATCTCACATGGTTGAAGTTAAAGGTCCTTCATGCACCTTGCTTCCCATCCCATGCTGCACATTCCTTCGCTTACCCTCATCTCTGTACTCTTTCCTTCAGGCTATCACTCCTCCTCCTCCTCCGCCTCCTCCGCCTCCTCCTCCTCCTCCTCCTCCTCCTCCTCCTCCTCCTCCTCCTCCTCCTCCTCCTCCTCCTCCTCCTCCTCCTCCTCCTCCTCCTCCTCCTCCTCCTCCACCTCCTCCTCCTCCTCCTCCTCCTCCTCCTCCTCCTCCTCCTCCTCCTTCTCCTCCTCCTCCTCCTCCTCCTCCTCCTCCTCCTCCTTCCCCCCCCCCCCCCTCCCTCCTCCTCCTCCTCCTCCTCCTCCTCCCCCCCCCCCTCCCTCCTCCTCCTCCTCCTCCTTCCCCCCTCCTCCTCCCCGCCTCCTGCTCCTCCACATTTTCCCATGCTCATCCGTCGCCTCCTGTGCACCACACCACACGATGCATGCAGGAGTTTTTCCTCCACACCCATAGGTGGCAACATCCCCAGGAGCATCTCAGCGCTCACCAATCTGCAGGAGCTGTCAGTGCATCGCTCCTCCCATTTGCACACAATACCTCGCGCCGCTCTTGCTCTCACCCTTACCTTCCCAGCTCACGACTACCAATCTTCCCCTCCCCTCTCCTGCAATTTGTCCCGCCTTGCTCTGTGCGTTTTCATCTCCTGTTCCGGCATGCCATGTGCTGTTGTGCATGGCTGCAAGCACTGGTGGGTGATGGTCACTCACGCAATTATCTTTCCCATGCCATGTGTTGCTATTCCATTGGCGTTGTGGCGCATGGATGGGCAGGAGTTTGTTTGAGTGCAACTTGACCGGGTATATTCCCCTTGTCATCGGATCGCTCTCTCGGCTCACATCACTGTACGTGTCTCCCCCATCCTGCCTGCCAGCATTGCACAGTGTCTGTATCTTTACCCTGGCATTCACCTTATCTCTCGCCAACGATCGCAATCGCCTGGCTCTTTCTTCTCCCTCTCATTTCCGCTCCTTTCCATCCCCTCTTTGCCTCCTCTCTGTCCTCACCGCTACACCATGTGTGTATGCGTGTGTGTGGATCGTGTTCTGGCGTCTCTTGTCCTTCCGCGGCATGCGATGCTATGCAGGGAACTCAATGACAACCGCCTGGAGGGCACCATCCCTGGCACGCTCGGGGATTTGGTTGCGCTGCGTACATTGTATGTCCTACCTTTGTTGTTTCCTTGCAAGTGGCAAGCAGCTCATTCTCTCTGCTGTTGATACCGAGCAAACCCAAGAGCACTCCATTCCAGATGGGGTCAACATCTTTTGTGCCCTGTGCCCTCTGCTCTGCTCTCTGCTCTCTGCTCTCTGCTCTCTAATCGCTGCTCGCTGCTCTCTTCTCTCTGCTCTCTGCTCTCTGCTCTCTGCTCTCTGCTCTCTAATCGCTGCTCGCTGCTCTCTGCTCTCTGCTCTCTGCTCTCTGCTTGCTGCTCTCTGCTCTCTACTCTCTGCTCGCTGCTCTCTGCTCTCTGCGCTTGACTCTCGGCTCTCCCTCTCTCCCTTGTCGTCTCTGTGCGCATGGCAGGTTTATAAGGAACAACAGCATCATGGGACCCATTCCGGCATCCCTCGGCCAACTTCAAAGCCTTGACTCCCTGTGAGCGCGCGCCACCTGCATCCCATGTAATAGTGCTGCGTGCTGAGTGATGGATGGGTGATAGGGAGGGATGTGGCGAACGGGAGGGCGAGGGAACAGCTGAGCTGGAGCAGAGGAGTTGGGTGATTGGAATGATGAAGGGCTGCGTTGTGGGATGGGCGTGCATGTGAGGAGCACTGCACATGCCACAATTTGTGCTCCTCACATGCTGGGCTGTGTTTTAACAACTCAGTTTTACCAGCACCATGTCACTGGCTGTGTGTGGCATCACTGGCTGTGTGTGGCATCACTGGCTGTGTGTGGCATCACTGGCTGTGTGTGGCATCACTGGCTGTGTGTGGCAGGGCGATGGGACAGAACAATCTCAATGACACCATTCCTGCGCAGCTTGGCAACCTCACTAGCCTCCGCATGCTGTGCGCCCAGCTACCTCCTCCGCTGCATGCCACCATGCGTTCCCTTCTCCCGCTCTGCTAACTCCATTTCCCTCTCGTGCCTTCGCTTCTCTACCACAATTCTGCGCACATATCCCTCTTAATTCCTATCTTTCGCACCAACAACAACCCATTCCATGCCTGCCGATGCTTACTTATTCCAGTACCCACGATTTCCTCAGCTGACTATCCGAAACCCTGACGTGTGTGTGCAGGGGGCTCGGGATGAACAACCTGTCTGGGCCCATACCAGCATCCTTTGGCAGGCTGCAATCTCTCCAAGTAATGTATGCGCCCCTCTCTCCCACCCCTGCTGCTTAACTATGCTATCTCCTTGCAACACCAAGGCATGCAATGTGGATTGTCATGCGTTGGTCATGGCAAGCATTGGCATTGCTCACGGCATGCGTTGCTCATGGCATGTGTGGCCCATGGCAGGGTACTGTCAGTGAACAATCTCTCGGGCGCCCTGCCAGAGTCCTTTGGCAACCTCTCTAACGTTCTAGCCATGTACGCCCTCCTCACACCCACTCACCTGCCTTCTCCTCCTCACACCCCCTCACCTTCCTTCTCCTCCTCACACCCACTCACCTGCCTTCTCCTCCTCACACCCACTCACCTGCCTTCTCCTCCTCACACCCACTCACCTGCCTTCTCCTCCTCACACCCACTCACCTGCCTTCTCCTCCTCACACCCACTCACCTGCCTTCTCCTCCTCACACCCACTCACCTGCCTTCTCCTCCTCACTGTTCTTGCCGTGCTCCGCAGCCCTCTTGCTGCACAGTCCCCGCCTGCCCTCTTCTTGTGCTCCTCACATTCCCCCGTGGATTCCCTTTCCCACTGCTCTTCCCACACCCATCTTCTGTGCTCTTCGCACACACGTTACTTGTGCTCTGGACTGTCAGCTTTCTTTGGCTCATCTTCTGTCAGAAAGCCACTACGTCACATGCGGCACCTGCCATCTTCCCCTGTCCGCCTGTGCCCTACTCCATGCTGTCCCATACATGCTTACGCAATGTGCCCATGCCAGTTACCTGGGGAGCAACCTGCTGGACGGCACCCTTCCTTCCACCCTGGGCGCTCTCAACCAGCTGCTGGAACTGTCAGTGCACCGCATGGCACTGCATGGCACCACATGGCACCACGTCGCACCACATGGCACTGGACACAGCACAGCGCACAGCAGAGCATCCACGGCAATGCTCGGCCTTCAAGTGCTCGCACACGCACCACCCACACACATGCCTCTCACCCTCGTCCTCAGCAGCCTCGTGGCCCATGTGCATCCCATGTGCATCCCCATGAATCCAAAGCTGCATGCCACTTTGACTCATGCTGCCACCATTCTCCTGTCGTCTCTTTCTTTCATGCCCCTTCACAGCTCGCCACTATGTGTGCTGTGCCGTGCCATGCCATGCCATGCCATGCCATGCGAGCCACTCCTTAATCTGAGCGCCATCTCCATGCGGCCACGCCTTTCACCCTCTCCCTCCCCCAACCCCCCCCCCCCCCCCCCCCGCGTGCGTGTGCAGGGACCTGTCAAACAACACGCTGCAGGGGTCCATCCCTGCGACCTTCAGTGCGCTCTCCAACCTGCGATCTCTGTCAGCTCCCACCCTCACACACCAAATCGCCCTCGCTCTCTCCCACAGCATCTTCCCGTGCTCCTCCACTTTCCAACTGCCATGGTGGCTGTCTTGGTGATTATGATGAGAGCGCACTCCGCTGCACGCCCCACGTTCTCAAAATACAAGGCATCCGTCTGCCCGCATGGTCTGTGACGATCTCTGCGCCCTGTTGTCTGCCCCCTCTCTGCCCGGCACTCCTCCTTGTGCCCCTCATACCTGCAGCGACCTGGCGCAGAACATTCTCAACGGCTCCCTGCCAGCCTTCCTTGGGAACTTGACGAACCTCGATACCTTGTGAGCACAACTGGCACGCTGCCACTGTGAGCACCCACCACTCTCCACTGCGATCCCATTCCTCCATGCTCTGTCTGCCTCTCTGCGTGTCTGCCTCTCTGCATGTCTCGCCGTGCAGAAACTTTGCAGAGAACGATTTCAAGGGCAATGTGCCGACTGATTTCAGTCAGCTGTACCAGCTGGAGACCCTGTGAGTCCCGCTCGCACCCCACCGACACCACTTGTAATGCATGCTTGTACGTGCCGTGCGTCTCATTCATGTACCTGATATCCATGCTCTTCTGACTTTTACCTTTCCCTCATTGCTTCGCCTTCCATGCATGTCATGTCACTCCCGCAGCGTCCTGCATACATTGTGTTGCCCGTCCTCATGCAAGTCACGCGTCCCACATCACCTTCCCTAGTCGTCCTTGCAGCTCCCCCACACTGCCACCTTCCCCTCCACCACCTTACCTAATCCTCCACACTCTTTCAAGCATTCACGCCTGCCTGCTCATCTCCCCACCCTCTATGCAGTGACCTGAGCAACAACGTTCAACTTGTTGGTATGATCACTGCCAGCCTTGGACAACTCACCAATCTCTCCGACTTGTGAGCACCTCTGCCCCTGCCATCCCCTCCGCGTTTCCCTCCCCTTCCCTTCCCCTACCTTTCCTTCCCCCCCACCGTCCCCTGCACATCACCACACATTGAATCCTCCCCGCCATTCCTCTCTGCCTTGTTCCATCCACCCATCAGTAACGTGGCCGGCACGTCACTGTTTTGCCCCAACAACTCGCTCCCCTGCGCGCTTCAGCCCAACCCGGACTCGGGCTACTGTGGTTTCTGCCAGGAGTTCTGTGATCGCTGTGGAGGCGGTGAGTGAGCAACCCCACCGCACCTGGACACACTCCTTCGACGCGCATCTTTGCTACGTGCCATGACCGTCTGTGCCCTTTGACTTGACTGTCACTGTGTCTGAATTTGTCTGGCTGTGACTGTGACTGTGTGGTAGGAGGAGGGGATAGAGGAGCATTTAGAGCCAACAGTGACACTACTGGCCCCTACCTACTGTTGTCCCACCAAACGTCCCACTTCCTTTTTTTCCTGCTCAACTCCGTGTTTCACATCCCCCCCCCTCTCTCTTTCTCCTTTCCTGCTTGCTGTCCCTTTCAAAGGCCCAGCACCACCGTCGCCACCGATAGTGCCACCGCTGCCACTGCCCCCGCCATCGTCTGGACCACCAATGCCGTTCCCCCCTAATGGTGGAAACGTCCGAGTGCCGCCCAGGCCCGTCAACGCCACCACCCCGCCACCCAGCAGCGGGGGCCTGTCAGGGGGCGCCATAGCGGCCATTGTGATCGGGCTGCTCATTGTGCTCATCACTGCTGCTGGCCTCGCATACATTGTCATCACCCACAAGCCCGACGCGCCTGACCATGAGGGTACGACATTATTTATCCCATTTCTTGCACTCTTTACTCCTCACTCCTCTGTTCTCCACTCTTTCTCCTCTCTCCTCCCGTTCACGCTCTCTTTCTCTCTCCCTTACTCCCAACTCCTCCTCTTCCCACACACCATCACTGATAGCAACCCTGATTGTGCTGGCTGTGCTTCCATGTCCTCCCACACACACTCTCCTCCATGCAGACCTGCTGGTGTCAACAGCACCGTCATCTGTGGGAACCAACCGCGACGAATATGCGCGCATGCGTAAGCCACTGCACCACCCTGTTGCTGCCAATTCCACGCACACACACATCGACACATAATTCATCCATCCTGCTCTTTCTGTGCTGCACTATTTTTGTTCCTCCCTTTGTTCTGCCACGAGTACCTGCAGGCCCTCCGGGAGCTGCGTAGCACACAAGGGGTCAATGCCAAGCTTGTTTATGTAGAGTGGTGTGGCATGTCTACATTAGTGTAGAGCTTTCTCGTGTGTGTTTTTATCATCCCATAATCTGCTACAGCCATTGCAGGTAGATGTGTTTCGCTTTTGTTACTGCAAGTAGTGAGGCATTCCTTGTGCCACATGTTGCCAGTGTTTGATGTTTGTCAGGAAATGCTTCTATCTAGGTTTGTAGTCGAGAGACATACCGCATATAAAAAAGATGGTGGAGGTTGAAGAGGAACATGTTAGAAGTCGGAACAGTGCTAGAGCCCTTGCTAAACACACGAAAGCACTAGCTCTTTTTTAACCCCTTCACGATGAGCATCTTGCATGCACAAAACGGAATGAAGACCAGAAAAATGAATCTTTTCCACCCAACGACTTTTTATTTCCATCTACAATAGACAACACGATCACCCATCTTACTACCATTCACACATCCTACCATAATCCGACGCCGCACACTTACAGTACTAGCCCATAGCCACGACCATTAACAGCGAACACGCAGTCTTTCTAATGTCCCGCATTTCGTCGCGCCGCGTCAGTTGACGACGCTGCAGGTGCGGCGGATCTCGCCATTGCGGCCGGTGAGCACGCCGAAGGAGCCCATGCGCACCATGGAGTGGCGGAAGTGGCGGAAGAAGCTCTTCTTGTCCGCCGCGAACTCGTTCACCAGGTCCTTGGTGCGCGCGTCGATCATCAGCACCTGGTCGCTCGTCAGAAGCCCGAACTTGCGCTGCAAGTTCTTGAAATACTGCGAGCGCAGCGAGGGGCGGAGGATAACATAGGGAAGAATAGGTATTAACATGAAGGCTGTGAGAAATGTTTGTTAACCAGAAAGGTGGGGCGAAGTTTTTTGTTCATTGGCTGAAATTGTGGTGCGCTCCTAGAGTGGCTTACCTGGTTGTCGAACCGCTTAGCGCTCTTGATGTCGAGGACGACGGGGATGGTGCCGTCGACCTTGGGCGCCTTGCAGTGGCCCTCCAGGTACTTCCGCATGGACCGCGCAATCGTCGGGTCGCGGTTGGGTGCGATGCGGTGCGCGACGGTGTCGCAGTGCGACTCGCCGATGGTGTGGCCTCCGGAGAGCGTGACGAGGTCGACGAGCGTGAGATTGATGGCGGCGAAGTTGCTCAGCAGCGCGTTCACGTTCATCTGGTGCCCCGGCAGAAACTTCACAGCCAGAGCGGCCTTCGACGTGCGCGAATCGCGGCGACCCAGCTGGGTCTTAATGTATGGCCCGCCGGCCTGCACGACACCCATGGGCGCAAACAGAAAGGCGGCGTATTGTGAACAACGTAGAGGGGCATAGTTGTGGGAGATGATTGGATAATAGTGGAAGCCGCATCACTGCGAACGGCAATTACAGACTGAGAAAGCGGCGGAATATAACGCACCAGGCTGACGCCATCGCGCGCGGCGAGAGCGGTGATGTCGGCGCAGCTGACGACGCCGGGGCACTTGGCCTCGACGGCCGTCTTGATGCGGTCGATAATGTTGAAGCCGTTCAGCGACAGGTTGGGCGGGGCGTCCTTCTCTGCTTTGTTACCCGGTGTCGAGTTCAGCAGCACAGATCCGTCGCAACCCTGCGGACGCCAGGCGAGAAAGAGGAAAAAAGACGCCGTGAGTGCCAAATGTAGGCGAACAGTAGATAAGCGGGGCAAGAAATCAGGCAAGTCGTACCTGGACAAAGCAGTCGTGGAAGTGAAGGCGAAGAAGTGGTGCTGGAACGGTTTGGTCTTTGCGAAACTCGTCAATGACGATCTCACGAACAATCGTCTCGAGGTACGGGCACGAGTCCTTGTAATACGCCCGGCTCAGTCCCTTCGCTTCGGCGCCTTGGAGAGGAGACATACGCCATGTGGCGATGACGAGAAGTAGCAGAAGGAGCTGCGACAGCCCACGAGCCATGTCGAGCAGACAATCAAGAGGTGATGGAGAAGGAAGGAGCAAGCACGAGAAATGCGAACGTGAGCACTTCTATGGATAAATTGGCTTGGTGATGGGGAGGAGAGCGCCGCTTTTCTACAGCAATGGCGGCGCGGGTGCTTCTGCCAGACACGGCCCTTGTTAGCAAAACGACTGTAGTTAAGGCTAGTAGCCCTAAGTACCTCGAAAACAGATTGAAATAGGGGCACTTCTAGGAAATAAACTTCGAAAAGCCGAGATGTCGTTGTACAAAGACTGTGTCGAACTGCATGGCGTCCTCGGAGGACGGGTCTCAGTTCGAGGCCAACGGAAATCAATCTCTCGCTTCGTCCATCAATTGGGTGTACAGCACGAAAACCAGCCAGAAAACCCTGCCGCCATCCTAAAATGGTACGGTACCCAGCTGCTTTGTTGGTGGAATACCCACTGCGGCTTGCTCAAGGGAGGTCCACACTCAGGACTGTTTTATTTCGCCTTCGATTGCCTCGATCAGACATGAACATAACTTCGAGGAAGTTCTGAAGACGATTTCAGGCGATCGGGGGCAATCACTTGATCGCGATCAGCTGATCGCCCCAAAACGATCAACCGCCGAAAACAGCCCAATCAAACACAATCCCACACAATCACCGACGATCACTTGATTGCATTTGATTGGGGTACTAAGCGACGCAGGCGAATTGTTACATTGTTCGGCATGGATTCGTGAGTTTGTCGCGAATACCCCGCCGTCGCGAATCTTGAACAGCAGCGTTTCTGGGCACCTGCTTTCGCGAAATTTCAGGGAAACACTAAGCTCGCTATTTCTATGCGAGGCATTCGTAGTCGCCAAAGTGGGCCCGAAAGTAGCAGGAAGGGTCTGGACGCTTGCCATGTACCCTCGTAGAAAATGCAAGAAAAATTTTAACTGATCGGGCGGCGCGAGCTATTCAAACAAAGGCAACCCGATCAGATCAGCCCCGACCAGATCACAGCCAACCAGAGGCGAACCGAGACCCTCAGGTTGAGTGGGCAGATGGCACCCAGTATCTCACATCTAGCCCGGATGAGGCTAAATCTATCAGCTTCCTCACATTTTCCTGGAATGTTTGCCTTACATCGTGATCACCCTCGGATCACTAGATGGTTGAACTGCTGTTTTGTACAACTGCACCGTTCGAGGTGCACCCTGAACCAAGTTGAGATTCCAAGTTCCTACACCAGTTCAACCTAGCAAAAAAATGAAACAGTTCCCACAGCACAGCAAATGTTTTTGTTGACGAATTGTACGAAACACACTCTCAAAACCTCGAGTCGGGATTTTTGGCAGTCCGTAAATCCATGTCACCTAAGTATTGTGACATGGACATTTTTAATTGGTTGAAACATTTTTTTTCCGTGACAGCTTGAGACTGGGAGAGGCCAGGCCCGGAAGCTGGTGTGGATGGCGGCGTCGCCCAAGCCACAATCATGACTGCTCGGTGCGCACTCATGTACAGTTCACAAATGTACAAATGTCTTGCTTAGAGTCCCAGTGAAAACACACGCGCTGCGGGCCTTTGTGGAAAACCCTTCAAGCCCCAGGCAAACGGGATCCTTTAGTCCCATATTCAGTAAAATTGCATGGAAATTGGTTTTGCTTCGCTAATAGTTGTTGTTTCCTGTCATATACGTACCAATTCGGAATGCGCTTGATTCAACTTCTTGTCGCAAGAATTCTCCACGTTCATCAGTGTTGCATGACTGACGGGCAGAATAAACAACTTTGGTACGGTTTTAGGAATTAATGAAAGGAAATATAGTTTGTTTTTCCCTGTCATCGTCGAGCGCGCTGAGTAACGCTCGACGGGATTTTGAAGTAAGCGCGGTCAAGATAAAAAATCAGAAGTAGTTTAGAATGTAAATGTCAAAACAGAAATTCCTTCCCTCACAATTTCCGGGTCGGTTCGATTCGGGCCTTCTGATTGGCTGCGGAACTGATCCGCAGTCAAGCTGCAAACTTTCCCGCCAAAAAGGGGACTGTAGAGGAGGGGCTTCACCTAGGACATATATGAAAGATCTACTCGACGGGGAAAATGGACTCTCTTAGGAAGGGCTTCTAAGCCAGAACATCTGTAGTCAATCAGACCGTGTGACAAAAACAATATTCGACATGCCAAAAATGATTTCATACTGTTACGAGTGCAATTGGGTGAACGAACGATAATTGCACTATCGAAACAAGAGTACAATGAGCAAAGGATTGAGCGATAACTAAATAGCAAAGACCACATTGGTAACGTTAACGAAGTGTGGATGGCGTGCGACGGGCCTGGAACTGAGGTTGGGACTGTGATTGGGAAATCTCGAGGCGGAGGCCCGAAGCGCGGGTTACCCGCCGAGCCGTGAGGTCGGGGTGCGACATGCGAAGGTGGCGGGAGGATTGTCGATGCGAGGGTTGCGAGTGGTAACGGTGCTGACCGTGGTGCTACAGTGATGTATGCGCTGAGCAGGGGCGCGAAGTAAGGAAAAATAATTTTCCTTACACTACCCCCCCCCCCCCCCCCCCCCTTTTATGAGAGCGCATGTATATCCCGGAAATATTGGCTGCGTAGGTACTCGATGAGGACGGGGTGATGATGGCTGCGTAGGTACCCATCAGTTCCGCAGCCAATCAGAATTTGCAGCTTGACTGCGGATCAGTTCCGCAGCCAATCAGAAGGCCCGAATCGAACCGACCCGGAAATTGTGAGGGAAGGAATTTCTGTTTTGACATTTACATTCTAAACTACTTCTGATTTTTTATCTTGACCGCGCTTACTTCAAAATCCCGTCGAGCGTTACTCAGCGCGCTCGACGATGACAGGGAAAAACAAACTATATTTCCTTTCATTAATTCCTAAAACCGTACCAAAGTTGTTTATTCTGCCCGTCAGTCATGCAACACTGATGAACGTGGAGAATTCTTGCGACAAGAAGTTGAATCAAGCG